GAGCCAACCTTCAGCCTGTGCATGAATGAGACAATGGGACCACTGTAGCTGGCTTGTTAAACTAACCCAGGGAAGGTCTCCCAGGAAGAGAGAGAGCCAGCAGAGGCTGTTGTAAGACCAGGCCCCGCCTACCTGAGCATCTGCTTTTTGTGATTCTCCACTTCCTGGAGCAAAACTTGCTTCTCCGACTCTTTGTCTTGCTCTTTTGCAAACTGTTCAAGCTCCTTTGGGGGGGGGGGGAAATAAGCATATATTAAAATAATTTTTAAAGCCGAGATAAAACTTTGAACAGCACTTCTATGTTTATAAGGTCCTAGAGCAGTATTCGAAGACCTCCTGGGAAAGACAGGTAACGAACAACCATTCAAATATACAGCTGAGTTTGAAACCAAAGATAATCCTCATCACTCTGCACCTAGTTCACTATAGATGGGAACAAAAAGCTGCAGGTTTATTTATTTATGCATACAGAACTGGGGTACAGGCCAGAGATGCAGGGGTGGTAAGAGGATTCACCAGAGACAGAATGGGAGGCAGAAAAGGCCTACTAACGAGGTACACTGCTGAGCGGAGCAGCAGGTGGGTCAGGAGAGGTCTGCCACATCATGTGGGTCACCTCTGGGGTAGGGATTGAACTCATGCTGAAGTGGCTTTATCTTCTTAATGCTGTGCTTTAATCCACTGCACCACCAGGGAGAGCCTGGCTGTAGGGTTTTAAAGTCCATGCACGGGCAGGAAAACGCAACCTTGAGCTATCTGAGGTTGGAAATTGGAATTGAGAACACCACAAATCCAGGACCCACCATGGGAAGCACCTTCAGTGGACAGGTAAACTAGGAGTGTCATTAGCCAGTACAGAACAACATAGAAGCTTGTCCTTCTATGGGCTCTGCTGTGGGCTCTGCTGTGGGCTCTGGCTAGAGGGATAAAATATACTTCCCCTGAGAATTTATGTGGGAGAACGAATTTGAACCCTTGCTCAGTGTGAGATAAAGAGAAAAAGAATGTGAACTGGAAACGTTTTAGCTGCATAAACAGTTATTATCTGCATAATTATTTGTTTAAAATCCAGATTCGCTGGCCCTCCCTGGTGGCGCAGCGGGTTAAAGCACAGCACTGAGAATCTGAGGCCACTTCCGCATGAGTTCGATTCCCGCCTGCCGCCTGCCCCGGAGGAGACCACATGGCGAGCCAGACCTCTCCTGACCCGCCCGCTGCTCCCCTCAGCAGTGTACTTCGTCCATCTGCCTGTTCTGCTCCCCGCTCTGTCTCTGGTGAAGCCTCTCACCGCCCCTGAGCCTCTGGCCTGTACCCCAGTTCTGTATGAATAAATAAATAAATCTTTAAAAAAAAAAAAAATCCAGATTCGCTGTTAGAATGGAAACTTGCTGAAGGTAAGGATGCGTCCTGTGTTCTTATCATGTCTCCCTGGGGCCTGCCACATATCAGGCTGCAAATCACTGAGTGAAAGCCTGAATGAATACATGGGAAGAAAGGAGGAGCGGAAGAGAGGCAGCAAGACAGAAAGTGTAATTTTTTCCTGAAAGATTTCATGGAAGTTTTGGAAGAAAACAGGGGCAAAGTTGCTCTCAAATTCCAGCTTGAGAACCACACATAAAAGACACAAATACCGACAAACAGCTAAATTCAACATTTACTATTCTCAGAACACTGTATTTTGAGACTATGAGGTCATCCTAGTATCACACAATCTTGCTGCAAATATACAAAGAAGACATTCATATAGGAATGTCTAAAAACTTCAAACAAATAGGAATCTTGCATGTATTTTTTCAGATATAAATGTTTAAGAAATACAGATTAGAACTGGGGGGGGGGGGGCTATTCATTCACTGCCCATGTGCTTAGTGTCTCACTAAGTTCTTCTGTTATTTCTTCTGGCACTGGGGAGCTGAGGATGAGAGGTAAGGGTGAAACTACAAATATGCAAATATTACTAGGGATAGGAAAATAATGCATATGTAAACACGCAAACGAGATTATTTGACTTAATGAGAAAATAAAACACTAGGTGAGCATGTTCTTTAAACAGAAAAAACAAGGAGATAAAGTGGTAGGTTTGATCGGAGAGTTGAAGTATGACCTTTTGCAGAAAAAAACTAGCTTTAAAAAGCAAAACAAAAGTCTTATTGCTGCAGTCCAAATAATCACCCAGCGATAGACATTTCTGGCTAAAAATATGATTAATAAAGAATGAGGAAGCTAATTCTGATATAGGAAGATTTACAATCAATCTTGTTAAGTTTGAAAAATCAGTGTTTTAATATGTGACCTTTTAGATGAGAAATGAGAAAGAAATAAATATATTTGACTTTTTTAGCATCTGGGTAGAGAAATTATAGAAAGATACATTAAGAACAAGTAAAAGTGGTTACCTTTTTGGAGGAGGGGTACAGAGAACAAATTAGAAGCATAGCCTATTTCTCAAAGTATGCCAATATTATCACATATGTGAAAATAACAGCCTTTCAAAACAATTTTTTTAAAACAATTTTTAATAGGTTAAATCAATGCTAGAAATGAAGGCGGAAAGAGATCAGCTGTGCCAATGATACTGCTGAAATTCTGCAGTGAGCTCCTATGGCAAGGACAGCTTATTTTCAAAAGCACCCTTGAAAATCCAGTTTTTCTATCAGCTTTGGAATAGACTATCTTTTTCTGTAAACTCATCAATGGAGCTAGCCATGTCACATGAAACACACAAACCTAAATGCTGGTGCCAAAACCCATCCAGGCCCGGCAGATAATACACGCATCTTATCCTCACCGAGGGCATAGCAGCAGAAACACCTAATTTATTCAAACTGATACTTCTCACTTTACTGATTTTTGAGACTTCACAGAAAGCACAGTTGAGTTTAGAGGTGTTGAATGTGCCTATGATTGTCTGGTAACTACAGAAACAGAAAGGAAGAGGCTGTTCAGTGACAGCATGAAAAAAAAAACCAAGAGGCAGGATAGGTTAGGGAAACAGAGATTGGATGAAGAGAGTGGCAGAGAAAGGAAGTAGTTCAAGCGACCTCAGCGTTTTCAAGTTGAAAAGTTCCAAGCGCAGTGCTGTAGTTGCCATACACTCATGAACAGAACCGGCAGTGCTCTGCGTTCCCAACTTCCTCATTTTCACCTGGATGGTTAGTGAGTAAAGTACCTTCACTGTCTCAACATTTACTGAAGCTCCTAGACAGCTCTCAGGTGGAGGTAAGTCACACCACCCAGCCCCTTTATTGTTATCCATTCTTAGCATCTCAGGCTGGGGCCCACTTACCTGTATCCGGTGGCGCAATTGTTGAAATTTCTCTTTCACTTTAGTATTCAGTTCAGTCAGTGCACTTAATGGTCCTGAACAATCTCGAATATCCTAGAAGACAATGAAGAGATGAGAGAGTCTTTTTCAAGGCAATGAAATTAAATGACACTATCTGTACAGTGACAGCTTACACCTTAGGCCTTAGACACAATGAAGGGTGGCCTATTGACTGTGATTCATCCTGATATTTCTACAACACAAACAAGAGCATTACCATTTGCATTTTTCCCATTCTGCTTTAGATTTTTAAGCAAGTAAAGGAAAAGCATGGAGAAAGCACAATTCTGTCTTGATCTATTAGTTTCAAACACTTAACAAAATACCACCTGGCCAACATGAAAGGTGAAAAGTATATGACATCCAAAAGTCAGACTATAATTTCAGATCTTCCCAAATTGAAAATCTGAGTGTTAAACTACTAGTTTCATATAACAAGATAAACTTCTTCAGGATGAACTTCTTCCATCTGATTTTACAAACCATCTGATATAAATCACAATGTTCATAGATATGTTCAAAGGTAGACTGAGAATTTGCTTCAAGTCATTCAGAATTACCAGTCAAGGTATTAAGGCAGAGTCAAGAACCAGACTGTATGGATTCAAAACCTGACTGCAGCAAGGTTTTTTTTAAAAGAAATCTTCAGTTCTCTGTGCCTCAGTTGCTGCATTAAGACATGACCTTACAAATAGAACATGTATATATGCAGAGTGTTTAGAATAGGAGCTGAAACACAATCTTTCTCACTAGCAAGCACAAGAACCCAAATGTTAAAGAGCTTAAAAGGGGGATTAAGCAAATTTATTATGTAATTCACAATATATTAGCGATATTAAGAGTATTATAATGACTATTACACATAAATTAAGTTATGCAAAAAGGCAATTTCATTTGATGATTCCTATATTTAGAATTTTAATACTGGCGCAAAAATTTTGCATTTACACATGAGACAAAGTTCAATTATAAATGTTTGCATCAAATTTCCTCACTTGTTCTCTGGCTTACACAGTAAGTCACATTTCCTAGCACTATATGATAAATCACTAATTGAGTTTAATATGCATCTGATTTCCGTGGGCAGCCCTATTTTCCTTTCCTTTAGCCACAGTTAGTTGCAATGTTTAGTAACACTTGTTGGAAATAGAAACTGTTTGCTTAAAACCAAGGTTTAAGACTCTTGGTTTCTTTTTTGTTAAACTCAAGGAACCATTTCCTCATTCCTAACTCTTGCCTATGCCAACAGATTTTTGCCTTACAGTGTTCTACCCATAAATGGCTTAAGCAAAGGCATCAATTACCCCATCTGTTAAATGTAGTGACTCTCTCGTCCCTTTTGTAGATTGACTTTGCCTGTCTGGGTAGCGGCAAATCCAAGCCTTGGCAGATTACTTTTTTTTTTTTCCTTTCCGGATTCCCACCCATTTTCCAATTTCGTTTCTTTTCCCTTGTTGCCCCTTTTTCTGGGGTTTTTGTGTGCCAGGGGGCTCTCGCAGCGGGGGAGCGGCGGGGGGGGGTCTTGTGTTCTCGGGGGCGCCCCGCTGTGTTGGTCAGGGCGGTGGCAGAAGGTGGGGCAAGCAGGTGACAGGTGTGTTGTTAGGTGGTCTGGAAGGACCAAGTGGGGCCACAGAGGGAAGCCTGAGTAGGGCGGGGGGCGAGGACGCCCGGAAGAGGATGAGCAAGGACACTCGGACAGAGGGTCAAAGGACATGACTAAATGGGGCGTAAGCAAGGGGGAAATCAGCCATGGGGCAGAACCAACGACCTCTCAGACTTGGCACCAAGTGGGGAAAAGGCTGGGAGCCCGCCGAGTTCCCAGCCAGTGGGGCTTGGGTTTAGGGCTGTTAGAGTCCAGCAGGAGTCCCGGAACTAGTACCTGGATAAGCGCCTTCACCTCCAGGTCAAATTTGACAATTTCTTGGTTACAGATACGGACGTGGACATCTTGGGGAGCCGCCATGTTGAGAACGCCAGCTACGGGCAGCGGCGGTGGCCAAACTTTAGCGCGTTTTCGCGTTTCCCGTTTTTTTTCGCTCGAGATTTCGCAGCAGCGCCCCCTAGAGGCCAGACTGCGGCGGGCGGGGACGGTGACGCCCGGTAATAAGGACTTTGCTTGACACGTGGGCAAAGTCAGCCCTGCCTGCTGACCTGGTGGTAACCGCGCGGAGAGCAAGAGGAGAAAGTATGTAGGAAGGTTTAACAGTGGCCTCCTCCTTTTTCCTACTGTTAGTTGTTTTAATGTTTTGGATAGAGAGGAAACACCTTTTGGAAAGTCTTGATTGGGATGTCTTGGAAAGTGAAATTCACGATCTATATATTTCTTTAAAATTTTTTGTACGTTTTACATTTTCTACAATGAGTATGAATTGTAGAATAAAAGAAAAATGATGTGTTTTTATTATTACTTTGTTTAAATATGAGGAATCCGGGCTTGTGGGTAGACCCCCTCTGTCCTCCAGGACAGTTGGAGATCTTAAAAGCACATAGGTCAAGTCACACACACACACCCACCCCACCCCCCACCCCCAGCTTACATCATCCCACCTAGCATCGTCCCTACTCATCTATGGCTTCTGGCTGGTGGTTCCCTTTTGTATACAATTGGATCTACTTGCTGGGGTAGTTTTGATGACCTCGTGTAGTTTTTCATGGAAATAATGTAAGAGCAGACCCTCAACAAGTGGTAGCGCTTCATCTTATATTTATTAAATACTTCAAGTTTCTTAGTCTTCAGCCACCCCACCAAACCTGTCCCCTTTCTGAATTCCTCAACCTCTTTTTCAATCTTAGCTTAGAATGCTTTTCCCTAGTTCTTCACCCCATTTTGTTGGGTTCACTTGAGCAAGCAAGTGTGAAGTAATGTCCCCGCTGTAAAGATCAGGAGATTGACTAGGAGTAGATCAAAACCAAAATCAAAACCAACACGCCTGCCCCAATTAACCAAATTGAAAGCACAGAGCCTTAACTGAAAGGCACATCTGCCCTCAGGCACCAAGTATGGCCCCCCGGGTAGTACTGTATAAGTGGGACTGTGCTCTTTTCCCTCTATGTTCCAGAACAATTCACACACCTTTAAGCTCATCAACCGTGCTGCATCTAAGATAGAGGCCACATACTGTGACTGGGAGTCAACCCTGGTTTGAACCCTGCTTGGTAATGCTCTTCATATCTCTGTGCCTCAGAGGCTAACTGGTAGTAAACATAGGGCTGGGTGGGGATTAAATTAGAACATATAGTAATGTGGCATGTGGTCAGAACTCAGTGTTCATTAGCTACTATTTTTCTATTATTGACATTTGGGACCATTTCTAATGTGCCACCACTTTGTACCAAGTGACTCATGTACATCATCTAACTTAACTCCCACCACAGTTCCATGAGGTAGAATTATTTGTCTTTTAGAGGTGAGAAACCAGGCAAGACTAGTGTCTTGCTCAGAGGTAAATGGACTTACTAGTGTTACTGACTGGAAAAGGGAAAGAAACATCACGATGCAGCCCATAACCACCTTGGATCACTACTCCCAGCAGGCCAGTGATTGGACTTCCTGAGTAGGGGGCAGCTGGAAAAGAGCTAGGTGTATATATAAATGGAGGTGGAATGAAGGAAGAGGGAAAGCCAGCGGGGTGAAAGGCCTGTTGGGAGGCTGCTCCTGTAAAGACAAGTGGCTACCATTATTTGACCTCATAATGGATTATGTGATATATTTTGAATTTTAGGTCTCTTCTTATGTTCCCAGCTCTCTGAGATATGACTAATCCCTTTTTTTGTGGCCCCCTGCCAGAGGATGCCTTAGACGTGTGACAAGCTTTTGGCCTCAGCTACCCTGCTTTAGATTGAACCTACATGGCTGGACATTTACCCAGAAGGAGATGGGTAATTTTCTGAATTTTATTAGAAACATCCTTTTGTTTCTCTCTCTGCACAATTAAAAATTGTTCACATTAAGTCTGCTTTGCCTTTGTGCATGTGGATGACTGTACCTTCTTTTGGAGCATGCAGCTCTTACTAGTTTTGTAACAGGGTAATCCCCATGGAAAAGGGAGGGTGGAGCTGAGCAGAGAGAAGTTAAGACAGGGAGAAGGAAAGAATCAAGGAGACCTGAAGCAGGCACATGGAGGAGAGACATGAAGAAACTATACTTGCTTCTCAATCTTGGACTTGTACCAAGGACTTGGGGGACATAGAAGGAAAACTTGAGAAACAGAGACATGTGGGAGGCTGACACTGGCAACCTTACCTTGATTTGTATTTTGCTTTTGTTCCTTTCATCCCAGATATACCTGGTCCTTTCTGCCCCTTTCCTGTGGTTCTCACCAGAAGATGCCTTAGACTTGTGGCCTGCATTTGGTCCTTAGTGTCCTGCTTCAGGCCAACCCTATTTGACTGGGTATTTACCCATGAGGGAATAGGTAATTGTGGGTATTTAATTGAAACCTTTTTTTTTTTAGATTTATTTATTTATGCATACAGAACTGGGGTACAGGCCAGAGGCACAGGGATGGTGAGAGGCTTCACCAGAGACAGAATGGGGAGCAGAACAGGCTGACTGACGAAGTACACTGCTGAGGGGAGCAGCGGGCGGGTCAGGAGAGATCTGCTGTGCCATGTGGATCACCTCCGGGGCAGGCGGGGATCGAACTCATGTGGAAGGGGCTTTAGCTTCTTAGTGCTGTGCTTTAACCCGCTGCGCCACGACGAAGGGCCATAATTGAAACCTATTTTAACTATTCTTTCTCTTCTCTCTACTGGACACCAATTGTATTAAAGTTCCTTTCCATTGAAAGTCTTATACACTGGAGTATGTTTTGTCTTGACGTGGCAGATGGCAAACCTATTTAGAGCAGGCAGGTTTGACAGCCCCAGGATACCCCTTTCTGCCTTGTATCAGTTTGGGGCCCCAGTAACACACTTACACAGGTCCAAGGATCTATGTATTTTAAAATTCTGACACGTTACAAGTTCCTCTTCACAGTTTACACTCCCACAAGACAGTGCAAATATGTGTTCTCATGGTGTGTTAAACACTGGGACTCTTTTCCAATCTGATTAAATGAAAAATGGTATCTTTAACTTGCATACTTCTTACCATGAATGAGTTCGAGAGATATTCATAGTTACTTTATTGTCTGCTCATTTTTCTTATCTGATTGTTGGTCTGTTTTGCATCAGTTTCCATAAACACTTTATATATTAGAAGAGTAGCCCTTAATTTTTTTCTTGGACTACAGAATTTTGACTTGATTATGGTTTGACTTTTGCACATTAAAGAAGTTTTTATTTCATGTCAAATTTATCTACCTTCCTTTCACAGCTCCTGGAATTGTGATAGTCCCCAATTGCAAGGGTTTAAAGGAATTGCCCACATTTCCTTCTGTTTTTACAGTTTTTCTTTTTCTTACAGTTAAATCTTTACTCATTTTGAGTTATTTGTTCACTTTTGGTATGAAGTATAGAGACTTTTTTTTCCCAGAAGATTACCCAGTTGTTCCAAACCATTTTCTGAAGAGTCCATCTTTTTTTCACTGGCTCTAGATGCCATATTTGTTGAATGTTATATTTAAATCTATTTCTAGACTTTGCATTCTGTTCTGTTGCTTGTCCATTCATGTATCAAAATGACCATTTTAGTTTCTGTGCTGCCAAAGCCAGCAAGATGTTTTAGTTATTAAGTTTCATGTCTTTTAATATGTAGTAGGGTTGAACACACCATTTCTTTCTCCCCCCCAGTCACCCCCAGCATCTTCCAGATTTTTTTTGTTTTAAGATTTATTCATTTATGCATACAAGAACTGGGGTACAGACCAGAGGTGCAGGGGGTGAGAGGATTCACCAGAGACAGAGTGGGGAGCAGAACAGGCAGATTGACTGAAATACACTGCTGAGAGGGGCAGCCGGCAGGACAGGAGAGGTCTGCCACACCATGTGGGTCAGCTCCCTGGCTAAGGATCAAACTCGTGCTGCAGTGGCTGCTGACAGCCTCACAGTGATTTAACCCCTTGCACCACCAGGGAGGGCCCTCTTCCAGATAATTTTTTCCCATGTGAACTTTAGTTGTTTTAACCCCAGTGACTGTGTTTTATTGGGATGGAAGTAAACTGTATTTAACTTCAGGGGACTGACAGCTATGTTGCCTGTTCCTGTTCAAGAAATTGTTCTTCTATTTGTTCAAAACTTCCTATGTCCTTCATAGCACTTTAGAGATTTATTACCTGTATCTTATTTTGTTAGCTCTTTCCTGGTGATGTCTTAAACCATTTCAAGAAATGATACGTCATGTTTTAGAACACAAACAACTTGGATACAACTTCAACAGAAGTTCCCTGCTTAGGACAGCAAAGCAGCCCTAAAGCTGCAAACACATATCTGCCCCCATTACTGGGGCCTTCTCATCACGCTTCTGGATGGAAATTTCAATATGCACAATTACATCTCTGTGAAACAAAGAAAACATAGCATCCTACTTATACACCTTCCAATACACTCCCTTACAACAGAGACCCAATTCAAAGTTCTTAAACCAGAGGCCATCTCTGAGACACTGCTATGCCATTTGGTGACTCAGGTCCCCAATTATTGAAACTGCAGCGCTGTTCTGCCCCCACTGCCTGCACTCAAAGGTCCTGAGACTAGTCTACACTGGCTAGGTTTGGGTCTTAGTTCTTTCTGGTTTTCAGATTTTCAAAGCCTATCATCTCCCATCTGGCCATCCATCCAAATATTGCCTGTGACTTAGTCTGATCCCTTGGGGGTGAGTATGAATTGCCTGAGTGCAGCAAAGACACTGGAGTCTGAATTAGAGCTATCTTATAAAGTGAGTATTGAGGTGAGTCCCCTTATCTGAGTCATCTGACGCAAGAAACCGGATGTGACCATCCACCTTGTGACAGGCCATTAAGAACAGCACTTGAGTTCCCTGACAGGGAACCCATTGCAAGGATTTAATGAATGTCACCCTAGTTTTGTAGAACCTTCCAGCAAGGATAAAGTATTTCCCAATTAACATTTTTCTTTTCAGGAGTTCACCTGGTCCCTAAATAACTGCTGCTGAGGAAGG